TTGGTGCCCTTGAAGGTGGCGACTGAACCTTTACAAACAAGGTTGGGGCAATCTTCACAACTTAATTGGAGGCTCCCAACGACACCACAAAGCTTCACCACAATGGACTTTGGCTCCGAGGTGACCTCAACCGTCTAGGGTGCTCAAAACACCCAAGAGTAACAAGATCCGCTAGGGATTTGTGGGGGGGAATCGAATATCTCTTGGTGGAAGTGTAGATTGGGCCCTTGTCACCCAATCCCGAGCAAATCAACAAGTTTGATTGACTAGGGAGAGAGATCGGCCGAAAATGGAGCTTGGAGCAATAATGGAGTTTAGGGTTGGAAGAGGTGAGTCTTCTTGGAGAAGAAGACCCCCTTTTATAGTGGGGGGACAATTCCAACCGTTACCCACCACTCAGCCCGCGACCCACGGAACTACCGCACCACAGGCGCGGTACTACCGCACGGGCCTGCGGTACTACCGCGGTGGACCGCGGTACTACCGTGGGCGCGGCAGAGCCCAGACCTGAATAAAGGAGCACGGACAGGGCACGGTAGATCCGCAGGTGCGGTACTACCGCGGCCCCATGCGGTACTACCGCAAGACAGCCGCAGGCCAGGCCCGGTAGGCACGGATGTAAAAAATTACATATGTAACTACCTCCGCTGAGAAATTGTTGTGCAAAAATCCGACACGGAACTACCGCGACCAAGGGTGCGGTACTACCGTGAAGGGTGCGGATGTAATAAATTACATCCGCCCCTACCTCCGCTCCTGCTACTGAACCTGGCCTGGCGTCACGGTACTACCGCGTGGAGCGCGGATGTAAAAAATTACATCCGCGCCTACTACCGCTTGAGCAGCGGTGCCAGACCAGAGCTCGCGGTACTACCGCTCTGCGGAGAGGTACTACCGTGGGAGCCTACGGCACTACCGTGCCGGAGCCCGGTACTACCGCTGGCTCCTGCGGTAGTACCGCTCAGAAGAGCAGTACTACCGCTAGCCTGAGAAGAGCAACGCGGAGGCCTTCATTTCGCAGAGACAAGGTGAGACGGAGGAACACTCCAAGGAGCTCGAGGAAAGGCGGTGCAAAAGGGAATGTGTACCTGAGATTCCACCCAAACCTTTCCAAAGCAGACCCCCTCTTAATAGTACGGCTTTCCTACGACTCAACTCCACCGAACCGAACCGTAGAGAAACGCCGTCTTCAATAATCTTCAAGGGGCATCAAATCGTCTTGTGTTTAGTCGTGATGTATCTAAAAAGCTCAATACACACGATTAGTCCGCAAAGGCATTGTCATCAATCACCAAAACTACTGAGGGATAAGAATGCCCTTACATAAGGGCCTGAGACAAGGAGATCCAATGTCACCTATTCTGTTCAACATAGTAGTCGACATGTTGAGAATTCTAATAGGAAGGGCAAAGGATGCTGGTCAAGTAGGTTACCTGGTACCTCATCTAGTTGATGGAGGTGTGTCTATCCTACAGTACACCGATGATACTATAATCTTCATGGAGCATGACTTGGTAAAAGCGAGAAATATGAAGCTAGTGTTATGCTTATTCGAACAATTGACCAGGGCAAAGATTAACTTTCAGAAAAGCAAACTGTTCTGCTTCGGAAGAGCCATTGAGGAACAAGAGGCGTACAAACAATTGTTCGGGTGTGAACTGGGGGCATTACCTTTCACGTATTTGGGTATACAAATTCACCATCGTAAGCTAACAAATAGAGAATGGAAGTGTATTGATGATCGATTTGAAAAGAAACTGAGCTGCTGGAAGGGCAAGCTGATGTCATATGGGGGCCGATTAATTCTCATTAATTCGGTACTCACGAGTATGCATATGTTTCTCTTGTCTTTTTTTTTTGAGGTACCAGTTGGAGTTCGGAAAAGACTGGACTTTTATCGATCCCGCTTCTTCAGGCAGAGTGATGACCTAAAGAGAAAGTATAGACTCGCTAAATGGGATATTGTTTGTTGACCGAAAGACCAAGGGGGTCTAGGTATCGAAAATCTTGAGGTTAAGAACAGATGTCGTCTCAGCAAGTGGTTGTATAAGCTATCTGTAGAGATGGAGGCCATGTAGGCGCAGATTCTGCGTTATAAGTACCTTCATTCCAAAACTTTGTCCCAGGTGACAGCGAGGCCGACGGACTCGCCTTTTTGGAAAGGACTAATGACAGTTAAATCAGTCTTTTTTAATGGGACAAAGTTTATAATCAGAAACGGTACCTCTACGAGATTCTAGGAGGATACATGGCTAGGGGAAACACCCCTCGCGCTTCAATATCCTTTCCTTTATAGCATTGTTCAACGAAGAGACGCTTTCATTGCGACGGTACTTCGGTCCACTCCTCTTAATATCCAATTCAGGAGAACACTAGTCGGAACCCGTTGGGAAGCTTGGCTCCATCTTGTGAGACGACTGATGGATGTGCAGCTTTCTCAACGACCAGACCAGTTGTGCTGGAAGCTAACTAGGAATGGAGAGTTTACGGTCAAATCCATGTATCTGGATGTTATCAACTCTAGCTTCATTCCTAGTTCGAAACATGTTTGGAATGTCAAAGTACTTTTGAGAGTTAAAGTGTTTATGTGGTTTGTACACAAACAAGTCATTTTAACTAAGGACAACTTGACAAAATGCAACTGGATTGGTTCTACAAGATGTAGTTTTTGTGACCGGGATGAATCCATCAAACACCTCTTTCTGGACTGTGCGATGGCGAAAATTTTATGACGGACTGTTCACATAGCTTTTAATATTACTCCTCCGAATAATATCAACACGTTATTTGGGACGTGGCTTGACGGGATAGATTCCGAAACAGCAAGACACATTCTTGTAGGAGTATGTGCTTTACTATGGGCAGTCTGGAACTGCAGAAATGATTTGGTTTTTAACAGAACAACTAATACTCATTTTTTGCAGGTTATCTTCCGAGCCACTGCGTTGATCCGGATGTGTTCGCTACTCACTCTGACGGAGGTCAGAGAGTGTTTGGTTACTGGATCTATCCGATGGGAGATAGTAGCTCGGGCTATTTTCAACCGGTTTGGATGGTGGTCATGTATTAGGATAGGCAATTAGTTTTCCTATCTTTCTTTTGCCAGCCGGTTGTGGCTTTACTTTTACCCTTCTGCTCTTTGTGAGCTTTTTTGGTTAGTTCATTTAGAGACTTCAAGACCTATGTTAAACTTATTTGCTTTTTAATAAATGTGGCCGTATACATCCTTCTGATGCAGAGGCCGGGGATCTTCCCCTTTTCTAATTTTTTTAATCATTTCAAAGGATCTACTTTACATAAATTTTCAATTTTCATATTTGTCTAAAATTTCCAGATTTATTTATGAACCTTTTTTCAGATAAGCTGACTTTACCTTACTTCTCCCAATTTTTATGTTTTCTTTCGACTCATTTTCCTGATTGATTTTCAAATCTTCTATGATGGCTGAGCTGAAACACCTGCGAAATCACTGCCACGTCATCGTTAAAACCACCTCGAGTGCGCAAGCTGCTTGTCGAATCTTGAGAATTTTGACATATAAGTAGAAGCTAAAAATTCCGTCATAAAATGGACTGTCGAAACCTAGACATTTGCAATAGTGACTAGTGAGGGAAAAAACTGGTTTCTTTTCATTCCTGTCTGTATTTATGCTCTCGTTTCAGTTTTCTACGTCCTCCGTCGTTTTAGAGGTCAAGCCGTCAAGGCCTTGGTTTTATTTTATATCTTGTTAATCTGACAATATACAAGGCATGTGAAACCCAAGGATGAAGCCAGGCAGATATTACTTGCACCATCATCAATACTAAGTAGCACCGACTGATTAGTTAACTGGCGTCAATGGTGTTAACTTGATCTTTGGTGGTCTCGTTGATCCTTGCTGCACCAACAACTTTTCAGACTGGAAACGATCGATATTGAATGCTGAGTGTAGCAGACTGCAATCAAACCGCATGCAACGCAGTGTTTGCCGGTATGTGATGTACTTTCTCTCAGCATTACCATGTAAAAACCCACAGTAACTTCTCTCATAACCCAGGCTCAAAAAAACACCAACCAGAGGCGCGCACTGTAGAACTCTGCGCCGAGTCAGGCATGCAAAAGGAATTTTCACAAGCGCCCGCCCAACCAACCCGCACTGTTTTCCGTCCACGAGACCTACATTTTCTACCCACTTGGGATGGATGACAAGATGAGCACCACTTCAGTGGTTCTTAGACACTTTCTGTTCTTGTTTTGACTGCTGAACATCGTTCATGCTCTCTCCAGTCTCAAGTTTACGTTCGGGAGCATCGGTGTCTGAATCTCTTTGCCCTGCACCGGCGATGTTGCGCTCGTGAATTGAGCTCTAAGTATTCGGTTAATGGCGTGTTAACCCCAGGTACTGGTACTACTATGTACTAGGAACACATTCTGCAGTGAGTCCAGATGGACCGAGAGAGGAGCAAGCGAGGCGCGGCAGGGCAGGCGGGTGTCAGCGGCGAGGTACTTGGGCATGCAGCATGCTTCCCTTTCCTCGCGTCCTGTTGTGTGCTTGGGG